TATATATATATATATACATGTCTATCTATATATATAATGATTTTTTTACATCATGTTTTATAGTTCTGTGATTGATATGACAAAGTCCAGTGTCTGTGTATCCCAATGCAGTATGGTCTCTGTACTCTCACTTGCAGGAAATAATAAATATCCTAAATATTGTAGAGTATGTGTAGTGTGTAATTAGTTAATTGTTTCCAGTGCCCGTGTATCCCATTGCAGTGTGATCTCAGGTGTGTCCCTGTGTTCTCTCTTCCAGAGGAGAAATGCTTGTCCCAGTTGCAGTAAATAAAGATAAATAATAAAGATAAATATCCCGACTATTGTACAGTATCTGTTCTATGAGACAGGATTAAGTGAGACCAGTGTCTGTGTATCACATTCGAGTGAGATCTCTTCCAGATAAATATTTATCACACTTACAGTAAATTAATATAACTAAACCTAAAACATTGTTTTATATGTGATTGGAGTGAGGAGTTCAGTGTCTGTGTCTCTTACTGTACGAACTCGGTGTGTTTTTATTTCCAGAACATGAATAATTGCAGGAAATAATAACTATCCTGATTATTGTACAGTATCTGATCTATGTGATTGGCCAGAAGTCTTCCAGTGTCTGTTTCTCCCAGTGCATTGTGATCTCTTCCACAGGATAAACATTTGCCCCATTTACAGCAACTGAAAATAAGTATCATGATCACTGTTATAGTATGTGTTCCATGAGCATGGGGTGAAGGAGTGCAGTGTCTGTGTATCTCAGAGCAGTGTGATCTCTTCCGGAGGATACATATTTGTCCTGTCTGCAGTTAATAGTTACACCTGATTACTTGACAGTTGTACAGTATATGTTCTATTGGACTAGGTGAAGGGGCCCAGTGTCTGTGTATCCCATTACAGTGTGATCTCTTCCGGAGGAGAAATAATTGCCCCATTTGCAGTTACCAATTATAGGTCCTGATCACTGTTCGGTATTTGTGTATTTCAAGCAATGTGATCTCTTCCACAGTTAGGGATATTTGCCCCAGTTGTAGTAAATACCTATCCTGATGGTTGCACAGTGTGTTCTATTGGACTAGGTGAAGGAGCCCAGTGTCTGTGCACCTCAGTGCAGTGTGATCTCTTTTAGAAGATACATATTTGTCCAATGTGTAGCAAATCACTATCCTGATAATTGTACTGTGTGTTTATGGGATTGGGGTGAAGGAGTCCAGTATCTGATCATTGCACTGTGTGCGTTCTATGGTATTGGGGTGAAGGAGTCCAGTATCTGATCATTGCACTGTGTGTGTTCTATGGGATTGGGGTGAAGGAGTACAGCGTGATCTCTTCTAGAAGGTAAATATTTGCCCCAGTTGCAGTAAATAATAACTTTCCCGATCATTGTACTGTGTGTGTTCTATGGAATGGGGGTGAAGGAACCCAGTATCTGATCATTGAACTGCAGTGTTGTATGGAATGGGGGTGAAGGAGCCCAGTATCTGATCATTGTACTGTTTGTGTTCTATGGAATGGGGTGAAGGAGCCCAGTATCTGATCATTGTACTGTTTGTGTTCTATGGAATGGGGTGAAGGAGCCCAGTATCTGATCATTGTACTGTTTGTGTTGTATGGAATGGGGGTGAAGGAGCAGTATCTGATTATTGTACTGTGTGTGTTGTATGGAATGGGGGTTAAGGAGCAGTATCTGATTATTGTACTGTGTGTGTTGTATGGAATGGGGGTTAAGGAGCAGTATCTGATTATTGTACTGTGTGTGTTGTATGGAATGGGGGTTAAGGAGCAGTATCTGATCATTGTACAGTGTGTGTTCTATGGAATGGGGATGAAGGGGCCCAGTATCTGATCATTGTACTGTATGTGTTGTATGGAATGGGGGGTGAAGGAGCCCAGTATCTGACCATTGTACAGTGTGTGTTCTATGGAATGGGGGTGAAGGGCCCAGTATCTGATCATTGTACTGTGTGTTCTATGGAATAGGGGTGAAGGAGTCCAGTATCTGACCACAGTACTGTATGATGTATGTAATGAAATTCTCCAGTGCCTTTGTATCCCATAACATCTCAGTGTGGCCCCTCTGTGTGTTCTTTCTTCCAGAGAAGAAAAAATGGAGGGTATCGGCGCTCAGAGGGAACCCAGCTCCCCAGCGACCAACAAGCAGGACGGCCAGAGCTTCTCGGGGTCCCTGAAACCCAACCAGGTGGGGGAGACGTGCCTGTACGGGGTGCCCATCGTGTCCCTGGTCATAGACGGGCAGGAGCGGCTGTGCCTGGCTCAGATCTCCAACACGCTGCTGAAGAGCTACAGTTACAACGAGATCCACAACCGGCGGGTGGCCCTGGGCATCACATGCGTGCAATGCACCCCAGTGCAGCTGGAGATCCTGAGGCGTGCCGGGGCCATGCCCATCTCGTCCCGCCGCTGCGGTATGATCACCAAGCGGGAGGCCGAACGCCTGTGTAAGTCTTTCCTAGGGGAGCACCGGCCGCCCAAGCTGCCCGAGAACTTCTCCTTTAATGTGATCCATGAGTGCGCCTGGGGGTGCCGGGGGAGCTTCATCCCCGCCCGCTACAACAGCTCCCGGGCCAAGTGCATCAAGTGCGGCTACTGTGGCCTGTACTTCTCCCCCAACAAGTTCATCTTCCACTCCCACCGCACCTCCGACTCCAAGTACACTCAGCCCGACGCCGCCAACTTCAACAGCTGGAGGCGCCACCTGCGGCTCAGCGACTCCACGTCCGACGACCTGGCCCATTCCTGGGAGGACGTCAAGGCCATGTTCAACGGGGGGACCCGCAAGAGAGCCTTCTCGTCCCCGGCCAGCGGAGGATCGGCTCGGCAACACCTGGAGCTCGCCCCGCCGCCGCCTCCTCCCCCCGCTAAGTCCCTGCGAGTGTCCGCGGGGGAGGAGGATCAGGCGGCCCGCAGCTTCCCGCTCATCCCCGTCCCCAGCAAGAGCTTCTCCGGGGTGCTGCACAAAATGAGTCCGCCGCTCTTCCCTCCTCCTCCCTACGGCTTCCCGGCCTTCAGCCTGTGCGCCAAGAAGGACGACGGGCTGCCCGACAAGGCTCTGCCCGGGCTCTTCTGGCCGGCCGCCCCCACCTCCAAGGACACGGTCTACCCGCCCTTCCCTGTATTCTGGCCGGCGGCTGGAGCTCTGCCTGTACCGCCCTACCCGGGGCTCGGACAACAGCAGCAACAGCCGGCGGGCGCCAAGTGCTCCGCTGAGGCGGATGAGTCGGAGGGAGGCGGGGAAGCGGAGGAACCGGCCCGTGAGGAAGATAGATCCGGAGACGAGGCCCGGCAAGGGGAGCCGCTCACCGCCGGGAAGCTCCGCTACATCTCAGCGTTCAGGCCGGTGGTGAAGGCGGCCGAGAGCCTGGCCAAACTGTACGGAGCGGCCCGACCTGCCGGATATTCGTCCCCCGACCTGCTGAGCGATGCTTCCAGCTACCGCTCCGCTTCCCCTGGACCGGACACCGCGGAGGAGGTAGATGTGGAGTCCGAGAGAGCCAGCAACCCCGCACCCCCATCTACTGCTTCATCCCCGGCCAGAGAGAGCGAGGACAGGAGGGAGCACAGCCCCGGGAGGAGCCCGGACAGCGCTAAGGTATATGAGGTGAGACACTGCAACTGTCACTGCTTTATATGTCACTGTACTATATGTCACTGCACCACCAGAGACACTGTCCCTGCACCAGGTAAGACACTGGACTCAACTGTCACTACCTCATCTGATACACTGCCACCATCTATCACTCTACTGGTGAAATACTGCCACTATATAACTGCATCATCCAAGGCACTGTCCCTGTATCATCCAAGACACTGTCCCTGCATCATCCAAGACACTCTCCCTGCATCATCCAAGACACTGTCCCTGTATCGTCCAAGACAGTCTCCCTGCATCATCCAAGACAATCTCCCTGCATCATCCAAGACACTGTCCCTGCATCATCCAAGACACTGTCCCTGCATCATCCAAGACACTGGATCAAACTGTCACTCATCACCTCATACACTGCCCCCACCTGTCACTACACTGCCTGAGACACTGCCACCACCTGTCACTACACTTCCAGAGACACTGCCACCACCTGTCACTATACTGCCAAAGACACTGCCACCACCTGTCACTATACTGCCAGAGACACTGCCACTGCATCCATCATCCAAGACACTGGAACTGCCACTGTACAACATAAGACACTGTCACCATCTGTCACTGTACAAGAAGACACTGGATCCAACTGTCACTGCACCGCAAGACAAAGAGGCTGATTTACTACACAATAAATGATGTGACTAGTCACTTCCGTTATCCAGTCACGTGCAGAGGAAGGAAGTAGACCGGGAATTTGCTTTCTCATGATTGGAAAATAGAAGTGACATTTCACACAATTTATTGCGAGGACATTCTCAAATCCTTTAGTAAATCAGCCTCCCATATCCAATTGTCACTGGATCCAACTGATACTTCACCATGAGACACACTGGAACCAGGAGTCACTGCACCATATGGGACACTGGATCCAACTGTCACTGGATCATGTGAGACACTGGATCTGACTGTTACTGCACTATGTGAGACACTGGATCTGACTGTTACTGCACCACGTAAGACATTGGATCCAATTGTTAAGGCACCACATGAGACACTGGAACCAGCAGTCACTGCCCCCTGTGGGACCCTGGGTCCAGCTGTCACTGCATCATATGAGGCACTGGATCTAACTGTCACTGTATCATGTGAGACTCTGGATCCAAATGTCACTGCATTATGTGAGACACTGGATCCAAATGTCACTGCATTATGTGAGACACTGGATCCAAATGTCACTGCATTATGTGAGACACTGGATCTAACTGTCACTGCATCATGTGAGACGCTGGTTCCAAATGTCACTGCACCATGTGAGACACTGGATCCAACTATCACTGGACCAGATGAGACATTAGATCCAACCTTTACTGCACCATGCGAGACATTGGATCCAACTGTCACTATGGTACATGAGACACTGGATCTGAAACCATGGACCCATCTGCCATTGCATTGCTTGAGATGCTGCAACTAACTGGTCCTGCATCTTGTGAGACACTGAAATCAACTGTCATTGCAGCACATAAGACACTGGGATTGAATTACTAAAGGAGTTGAGGGTGTCCACTTAGCAATCAGGTGCAAGGAAAATTGCTTTGTTGCTAGACCATGATTGGTTGATTGAAGTGAACCATTTCTTACTAAGCTCAGTGAATGTTCACTTTGCTCTATGATCAGTCCCCACCATTTAGCACATCACCCCTATCAGATCCAACTGTCACTACATTATGTAAGATGCTGCAACAAACTGTCACTGCCCCATGCACCTAGATAAGAGAGCCTGGAGCTATTATAGGCTATAGAGCTGTATAGTGAGACATTGTATCCCGATAGTGTCACCGCAATCACCCAGATAGAGACGAGTGGACATTTCCCTGAGCTTTACTGCTGTATGATGAGGCACTGGAAGCCGTTATTGTAGAGTACACCCTACAGAGGGGCATTCACATACAGAACACAGAGGTTGGCCGGGGTATAGTACTGTATGATGAGGCACTGGAAGCCGTTATTGTAGAGTACACCCTACAGAGGGGCATTCACATACAGAACACAGGGGTTGGCTGGGGTATAGTACCGTATGATGAGACACTGGAAGCCGTTATTGTAGAGTACACCCTACAGAGGGACATTCACATACAGAACACAGGGGTTGGCTGGGGTATAGTACTGTATGATGAGACACTGGAAGCCGTTATTGTAGAGTACACCCTACAGAGGGACATTCACATACAGAACACAGGGGTTGGATGGGGTATAGTACTGTATGATGAGGCACTGGAAGCCATTATTGTAGAGTACACCCTACAGAGGGCCATTCACATACAGAACACAGGGGTTAGCTGGGGTATAGTACTGTATGATGAGACACTGGAAGCCGTTATTGTAGAGTACACCCTACAGAGGGACATTCACATACAGAACACAGGGCTTGGCCGGGGTATAGTACCGTATGATGAGACACTGGAAGCCGTTATTGTAGAGTACACCCTACAGAGGGACATTCACATACAGAACACAGAGGTAGGCCGGGGTATAGTACTGTATGATGAGACAATGGAAGCCATTATTGTAGAGTAAACCCTACAGAGGGACATTCACATACAGAACACAGGGGTTGGCTGGGGTATAGTACCGTATGATGAGACACTGGAAGCCGTTATTGTAGAGTACACCCTACAGAGGGGCATTCACATACAGAACACAGGGGTTGGCTGGGGTATAGTACTGTATGATGTGACACTGGAAGCTGTTATTGTAGAGTACACCCTACAGAGGGACATTCACATACAGAACACAGGGGTTGGCTGGGGTATAGTACTGTATGAGGAGACACTGGAAGCCGTTATTGTAGAGTACACCCTACAGAGGGGCATTCACACACAGAACACAGGGGTTGGCTGGGGTATAGTACTGTATGATGTGACTCTGGTAACCAGCTGTCATTGAACAATACACTCAGATACAGAAGACCGGGCTGCTTTAGGAACCACTACTGTATGAATACACTGGAGATCAACTGTCACTGGAACCTCACAACTACAATGGGGCTTTCAAATATAGAAGACAGGAGTCGTCTCTGGTCATTATTCCCCTTTAATGTGTCATTACATAGCAGATAGCTGTCACTGGACTAGATACACTGATACACATATACACAAAGACATCTATACACATGTATACATGTCATATACACAGAAAGAGATACACAAACATGTCAAATACACAGATAGATACACAAAAACATCTATACACATGTATACATGTCAAATACACAGAAAGAGACACAGACAACTAATAAAAAACAACAACTTATAAATGAGAACAAAGTGGAATTGTTGTAAGTAGCAACCAATCAGGTTTCATCTGACATTTTATGGAAATTCTGATTGGCTGATAAGGGCAACTGCTCAGTTTTACCCACCATTTCCTTTCTTCACTTTTCTAAACCAGCAAAGAAACTGGATTGGTCAGCATTCTCCATAACTGTAAGAGAACGCACAAGGCAGCTGTCACTGTCCCCATTCACATCAGATATATGAGAGTCCTCACTGTATTCGATGTGGTCACTCCTCCCTTGTACTGTATGAACAAATAGGGATCAGCAGGGACATTAGGGCAGAACAATGTTTCAATATAAGCCACATCTCCTCTAACAACAGACTCCACACGTGTAAAGCAGGTATGAAAGGTATGGGTGTAGCAGCATGTTTCTAGAGATATTCAATCAGTCCTCCATCTGCAATGCGTAGGACACTAAAGCTGGCTATACACCGATCATCATTCACGTGTTTGCTGTTGAATTGGCCAATATTCGATCCACAGGTGGCTTTTGTTGAAGCATTTGATTGAACAGTGATTGCAGCAGATCAGCTAACCAGCCAATCAGAAGCAGTCACTGTTTGGATATTCAGGCAGCCGCAGATGACAGCTTTAAGAATACAATAGCCGACTGGAGGAAGTTCCTCTATCTCTGCTCTTTAGCTTGGATTGGGGAATCAAGCGACTTTTCTCATGCAGAAACATCTTGACTTGTATGGCCAGCTGAACTTATGCAATGATGACAAACTGGGTGTACAGCAAGGTAAATGTCTGGGTTAGTGTAGAATGATAGCCGGAGGCTAACTGAGTGTGGTAGGGAAATAGCAAACCTGGCAATTGATATCGCTCTCAAATAAGCCTGCTGACAGACATGGTATTTCTTACATTAGTTCCCAAGCAGTAAAAACTACAGTGTTAGAGGGGATAAAGGGGATAGCAGCACGTGTTCCAGTCATTAAAAAGAAATAATATATTGTTCAGAAACATTTAGTACAAAAATAAGTTTCACATGTAATAAATGCGGCCACATCAAGGGGAAACAATTTGGCCCACCTCAGGATGGTGATACATTCAATAATACACTGCAGAAACAATATCCCTTAGATACAGGCACTTCTTTATATATATATATATATACACACACACTAAAAAGTTTGTATATTTTAATTATATAATATTTGAAAAAGATTGTATTATATTTAAAAAAAATGTATAATATATTAAAAAATTGTATAATATTTAAGAAAACATATACAATATTTAGGTAAATTTATGCAATGTAATGTACCTTTCTTAGTCTATGTAAGCTAACCACAGATTTAGCTTGTATTTGCTCAGGAAAATTGCCTTCGGCTACATTTTTATGTCCCTTGCTTGGTCAGTATTCAGATCCTTTATTATGACACACTTAGGGGTCTATTTATAAATGTTGTCAGCCAAGATTCACACCTTTTCTGATAGGATTCAACTGGAAATTGTGTGAATCTTGGGTTAAATTGGTGCGAATCTTGTGTGAAAACATTTATAAATAGACCCCTTAGAATTTCTATTTGCACATTTATAAATATAGATTTTTTTTAACAGTTGAATTAGAATTGACTCATATGAAAAAGTCTTAGAATCTAATAGAATCTTTGAAATCATTTACCGGTGAGGTAACAGTTTTACCGGTGACAGAACATTTTTATAATTGCTTTGTCAGTCACATTCATTTCTGAAAAAAGTGGGACATCAGTCTTCACGTTCGGGTGTCTTGTGTTGTATAACTATATCAGTCGCTGTTCCTTCCATGCTCATTTTTCATGTTTTATAGATCATAGATATAGATCACCAAACTATCTTAATATCTGTATTTTAGCTCAATGATCTGATGTCTTCCTTAATAAGCGCACACATAAAATCTAATTCTCTCTCTGTGTGAATAGCGATCGCGCTTACTTACAATTACTTTATCAGATCTGTCAATCAACATTCGCTGCGAACATACAAGGTCAAGAAGCAGCTGTCTTGCCCAAACGGTCCCCTAGGACATTTTAGCTTGCTGTTTATATATTCCAAAAGTAATAGATGTTGAATTTTGAAATCTGCCTATTTTGTCACGCCTGTTCTATTAGATAAAGGAATCAACACAGATACAATTTTTCTTTTTCAATTCTATTTCTGCTAGCTTGCGCCTGTCATAATTATATTGAACCTACCACTAGGGTGCAGTACATTGCCCAAAACAATGCTATGGTTATTTATGGCTATAAATTGCTGAGTATTGCCTGAATACCTGCGTGTCAACATTTCAGCAAGTCTGGTGGATTATTGCTGATATTTAGATGTTTGTAGATAGACAGAAGGGCTGATTAATGAAAACTAGAGCATACATACAACATGGCTATTGACCATATTAATTGAGATTTTTAGCTTACAATCTCTAACCTGCACTGTGAAAATAAAACATGGATTGTGACTGCCACAGGCAATGCCTCTGCGTTACCTTCATAAATCAGTGCCATAGTATGGAAAAGTGATTGTAGATGTTGGTTTCAGGA